TTCCTGTTGCAAGGACTTGCATACTGAACGCTTGAGGACTGAACATGCATTAATCTCTACAGGGTCATGATCTCTGTATTTTTAACTTCTATGATTAAGAGTAACATTCTGTCCCAGTGAACTTGGCCTGTTAGGTACTTCTGTAACAGTGCCTTATGTTTTTCCTTTATTCTACTGCTCTCTTTCCACACCAGCAGTATACTGGCACAGGGATAACTGCACACAAATAAAAGGTAGAAAAATTGATGTTGCGAGCTGACTTGCCTGCCAGGAAAGAACTTAGCATGCTTAGTTGTTCTGGTTAGAAGAGAATAATAAATCTACTTGCCCTAGGTTTATTCACTTAGTATACTGTCAAGCATTTCTATCACATGATGCTGTGCTTGTTTCAAGGTTCGGGTGGTTTCTGGTAGAGGAGTTAAAACCATATAGCATCCATTTCTCCTGATGCAGAATTAATCCTCAGTCAAAAAAAATGGAGTTGTTTCATCTCTGCCTAGTCTGAGAGATTCAGTCAGGTGAGCACCAGGCAACAGCTAAAGGAGCTGCTTTTGGATTTCTTTAACCAGGGGGTGGAGGACTGAGTGAATTCCTCCTCCCTGCCTCACACTGGCCACCCTGTCTTGCCTTCCCTCTCTCTCCTGCACACTTACACATTCCCCCAGAGGCAAGGGTGCCGGTGACTGGAAATGTGAAAAGTCACCTGATAGGATGCTGCCCGACTCCCTTCTCTCTGCACAGCATAAGCTCTCCTCGCCTGCTGATAGTGGAAGCAACTCTGCAAGGCTTTGCTCTGCTCAGCAGACTGCAGAGTTTGCTGCAAATGCAAGACTGAAATCCATCTTTGTGCCACCTGCGTACTGTCGAGGGGGCTTGTATGTCTTCTTGCCTTCTGTTTCTTTCCCCAAATCTCTCTTCTCAAAAGGAAGCTCTATTCTGCTGCTAGCAATGCATCCTGAGAGGTGGCTATGTTGGTGTTACCCTGCTTTCTGTGTGTGGGCATTCATGTTCATATCCTTGATTAAAGGTAGGCTCTCTTTGATACTAGTGTCTAAAATATTTTCTAGTCACTGTCTCTGCTTCTGTTTTCCAGGAATGAATTCAATGTAAAGCTTCTACCAGCTGTTTCTAACCTGAAATCTGTAACATTGCAACAGTGTTTTAAGAGAGCTAAAGCAATGCTATTTTTCATGCATAAAACTCTTCATTTTGGTTTCATAACTAATTGAGGAACTATTTCTGGCAAAGAATGAAAATGAAATAGTTCTAGTCATTTCATTTGGTGCTTGAATTTTGCATTTGCTTAAATAATACAGGCTAAAGATGTGCATGTTTGGTACTCACACCTTCAAAAGTAAGAACTTGGTGTATTTTTCTCCACTGTTGTTTGTGATCTAAGGTTACGTATGCTGGAGTGATTCCCATGCACACCTCACTGAGGTTGAGCAGGATTTTTGCTTTTAAGATGCTACATCTTTTTTGAAAAAAAGTCTCACTTTGGCTGATGACCAAGACATGTATGAATTACAGTGCTTGTGGTAGCAAGGCATAAGGCATTGTCTTAAAGCAGCACCAATGGGATAAGTGTCTGTAACTGAAGTATAAAAATTAAAGGCCTAAATACTTGTCTGTTTCTGTTACTTTATTTTAAAACATGTCTGTTAAGAAGCTGGTAGGAAAATTTCAAATGAAACATGACTTTATACTTATCAACTTTAGTCATGAGACTTTGGTAAGAAAGTCATGTTCCCACAGTAGGGTACTTCTAGTCACAGTGCAATGGATGATGATCAGGGAATCTGAAAGGGAAATTACAATTTCCTTTTTGAATAGCACAATACATGATATACAAACATCCATACTTTACAGAGATTCATGTATCTTCTCTGGATGAAATAAAAAAAGGATGAAACAAAACATGAAGTCTTGGTAGTTTTACTAGCATTTTCTTTCCATACATGTAAGTCACCAGTAACCAACATTTCAGCTTTTAATTGTGATATCCCCTGAATCTGACTATGCTTTGTATCACCTTAGAGGCAGAAATGTAATTTTTTTTTTTTTTTTTTTTTCAAAAACGGGGTAAGGACGGCCTAAGCATGAAAACAGTGCACTATGCTGAGACTGAGCATCTCCCTGTAGGACTTCTGTACAAGCACAGGCCCTTGTGTTCACTGAAGGAAACGTAAACTGAAAATTTATGTCCTGTGCTGTGCCAGAGACCACACTGCCTGACATAAACACCTTCTGTGTTTAATATTTGCAGTCATAAAGGCTTATCATGATTGCTTTCCTGACATATTCTAGTGCTATCTGGGACTAACGTGAAAATTTATCACCATGTATCTGAAAAAGTAATATTGTTGGCATCATCATATAGCTTCAATAGCACAGCTGGGCTTAATATGAGGATCAAGTTCCAAATCTTTGCCTTATAAAGTATTTTGAATTTAAGTGCTGAATTATAGTAGTGCATTGAAATAGTGAAATTATTCAAGAAAAATATTTTTCTGAGCTGGTATCACCGGAGTCCGCATGATTTAATCCTTCCTTTTTAAATCAAAGCCTGTAGTCTTTAGCACTGTGAAAATAACTATTTCAGGTTTGGGCTGTATGTGGCAGATTAAAAGCATTCTCCTTGGCTCTGCAGTGAGGCAGATTAGTGCCTGTCATGTAGCTTATTCCCGCTAAGCCATTCACTCTGTCCTGCATTGACTGAGGGTTACAGCTATGATCTGCTCTGTAATACAGCTCTGTATTACAAAGATGCATGCTATCTATAAGAAATTTTAGTATTTCCACCTTTATTTCTCATAGAACTTAATAAATTAACTTCCTTGCAAAGATTGTGCTATCTAAAGAGCTGAAATAGCAAACATGAGGATAAAATGTAGTCAGTTTTTAAAACTTGGAGGTATCATTATAATCACCTATCAGAAACCCTGACGTAGATTTTGATCCAGTAGTCGCAGCTTCAAGCTTTTAATTTCTGGGTAAGTATCTATGCTTTTCACAAATTCTCAGTACATGAAACTCACGAAGTTTAAAAACTCCCAAAGATTAAATCCACCGCATTTCTACTTTTTCTACTTCATACCACCTTATTCAACTTTGGTCTCATATCAGGAGAGGCCCATAGGCTAGATCCAGTTGAAAAGACTTTCCATTCAGGCCATTACCTTACACTTTGAGGAGACAGGGAGCAGTGGGCAACGTCTTGCAGGAGGATGCTTTCAACTGACAGCATACTGACAGGCCTCTTCTCTCTGTGCTTCTGTCTTGATACATGGCCACAAAAACAGGATCCAGAAATACGACATGGACTAGTATGTTATCCAGCACCTTCTTTCCCTCTTCCTTACCTCTGACATAGGTTCTCTATCTTTACCAACACAGATACCACAGCCTGTGAGTCAGAGGAACAATTATTTCACAAACTCTTCTCCCAGTACAACCAGTTCATCAGGCCAGTGGAAAATGTGTCTGATCCTGTCACGGTGTATTTTGAAGTGGCCATTACCCAGCTTACAAATGTGGTAAGACTCATTACAGAATGCTGCTGAGATTTGAGGATTGTTGCAAATGCACGCAAATTGCTAAAGCAGCAGATGTAATTGTGATGGTTGCACCTACAACTCTCATAACTGACATTGTCATGTGTGTGTATGTGTACATGCTGAGACCTTTGCTGTTCTTTCTGTCAGCTGAGTCACTCCGGTTGCTTAACCGAGCGGTTTGAACTACATAGATTCATTTGCTTACTCTGTAGCATCAAATCCCTCTGCTCAAGGCAGGAGCCTCTAGCATCCAGAGCAGCAATACTAAGTCCAAGTCCACTCTCCACAGGGTTAGCCCACTCCAGAGACACGTGGTTGTGTCCACTTTGGGTAGCATGTGGCCTAGTTCTCCTGTGGGGCCAATGTAATTTCCCAGTGGTCTTGAGAGATCAACTCTTCTTTTTTTTGCATGCTTTTTCAGTCTGTTTGTTTCAAAATAACATAAGAGACATGCAGCCTGCAGAGTGGTGTTCTGAAGCATGGAGCTGGGGATGACTGTTGTGTGTTCTGGGGCACACTGTATACAAGGGTGAGTGTGTCTGAGGTGGCAGACCTGATGGGCAGGAAGAGGGACTGTGGAAGAAGAAAAACCTAACCTTAACCCTTGCTGAAGGGTTTTTGCTCTGTGAAGCAAATTATCCACAGAACAGAGGCTGAGTTTTGATTCTGAAGTACCTAGTGAAGTGACAGGCAAACAGTGAGGAGCAATGTCCCACAGCAGCCAGGGAGCTATGTTATCTGAGAGTATAAATGAAGGCACTGGAAGGCCTCATGGTAAAGGCAGTTCTCACCTTTTGGAGTTCCTTTGTCAAAGTATTTGTTTCCATGTTACAGGTAGCTTGGCAGGTTTCAGCAGTTCTGTGTCACATTGCAGACCCTGGCTCCCAGTGTTGGCTTTGGAGAAAAAAAGGAACATCATAAGTAAACCAGTTGGATTTTCTCAAGAAAGAGTCAGGATTTTTGCAAGAACTTAAATAGTTCCACCCATGGACAGGAACCCTACAGGCCTTTCAAAATGATCTTTGTACTTAATCTTCAGTACACAATGTAGAAAATTCATCAAGGTAAAAAGAAAGTCTCCATACAACAGTGACCTAATTAGTACTGGGTGAGTGCATCTGCTCTAGAGGCTTTCGTAGAAATTCAAGAACACTGTGGTACTGATGCTGAATCCGACAAAACACATAGCCATCAGCAGAACCTTATTCCCCTGGTAGTGGTCAGAGCAAATGTAATTTTGTGTTCTCCAGGTTCTCAGGCCCCTGGCAAAACAGTGTGGGTCTTTGTCTGCCTGATATTTGTGGGGCATAATTTTTCAGTAGAGCTTTACAAATTTTTCAGCAGAGCTGCACATGACTGTGCGTAATATGTAAGCCCACTGAAAATAGCCAGAAAAAATCTAGCGTCAGTTAATGTGGAATTCTAGTTTCCATTTTATCAGAATAAGTTTGTGGCCATCTCAGGATACTGTCTGTAACTTATTTATGGAGTAAAGATGTGCATGCCTGTGTTTCTTTCCAGGATGAAGTCAACCAGATTATGGAAACAAATTTGTGGCTAAGACATGTAAGTGACTGCATTGCATTTCTCATGCATTGTGCATTGATATGATTAAATGTGTTACCTTGTAAGCTACATCTATAGAATAAGTGCTTGTTTTGTAACAAGGATTTTAAAGGTATGAATAAAGAGAAGCTCCATTAACTAAAGCCACATTTGAAAAAGTAATTTTTTTAGTGTTATTTCCAAGAAGTTACATCTCCCATCTTTCCTGGGTGATATATTCTCCTCCGGCTTCATGATCATTTGTTTATCTGGTAAATCTAGATGGATGTAGCCGTTAAAGAGTGACTAGATATGCAGCTCTGCAGTTCTGGGTCATATCCATATTGAAGATTCCAACCAAAATATTTATTAGCAAAAGGAAAATGCCTCTATTTTTCCTGATGGTTTTGGCATTTATACATAGACAAAGATCTATGTATAGAAGATCCTTAGAGGACCTAAATTGCTGAGAAAAACAAGCCAACTTCCACCAAAGTTACTTCCTTCAGGCACTGATTGTGGTCCACACAAAGCTTTCTGTAAAATTTCTTGTAGCAAATCAACGTGAGTGATGTTCATGTATGTCCAGGGTTTTTCCAGGTGATGGCCTTGTCTTTTGGACAATTGTCCCCTTCTACATGTGCTGCACTTTCAGTCTTTATCATAGCCTATCATATTACAGGAAGAACTGAGAAGCAGATATTTGCTGATAATACAAGATTTTGAAATCCTTGTCCATTCTTCTTCCAGATTTGGAATGACTACAAATTGCGATGGGATCCCAGAGAATATGATGGCATTAAATTTGTTCGGGTGCCAGCAGATAAAATTTGGAAACCAGATATTGTCTTGTATAATAAGTACGATGAACACTTTTCCATTTTACCCTTTCTCTACCCTCTTGCAGTGTCCATGAAAGACTTTTTATTTTCGTGGTAATTTTATGTTCTTTGCTTATTTGTGTTTCTAGTGCTGTGGGAGATTTTCAAGTTGAAGGCAAGACCAAAGCCCTCCTTCACTATGATGGAATGATCACCTGGACCCCACCAGCTATTTTTAAAAGCTCCTGTCCTATGGATATTACCTTTTTCCCATTTGACCATCAGAACTGTTCACTGAAATTTGGCTCGTGGACCTATGACAAAGCCAAAATTGATCTTCTGATCATTGGATCCAAAGTAGATATGAATGACTTCTGGGAAAATAGTGAGTGGGAAATAGTTGATGCTTCTGGCTACAAACATGACATCAAATACAACTGCTGTGAAGAGATTTACACAGACATAACGTATTCCTTTTATATCCGAAGGCTGCCAATGTTTTACACCATAAATCTGATCATTCCCTGTCTCTTCATCTCCTTCCTGACTGTTTTAGTTTTTTACCTGCCATCTGACTGTGGTGAGAAAGTGACTCTTTGCATCTCTGTGCTCCTTTCTTTGACTGTATTTTTACTGGTGATCACCGAAACCATCCCATCCACCTCTTTAGTAATTCCTCTCGTAGGTGAATATTTACTCTTCACTATGATATTTGTGACTCTGTCAATTGTCATCACCGTGTTTGTCCTGAATATACATTACAGGACTCCAACCACACACACAATGCCTAAATGGGTAAAACCCATCTTTCTTAGCTTGCTCCCCAAAGTCCTGTTGATGCAGAGACCACTAGAACAGCAGAAAAAAAATATCTTCAGAAAAAACAAGAAAGGATCAGGCAATATGTCAGGCAAGTTAAAGCACAACAAACACAAAGATACCAAATTACACAAGGAGCAGCGATGCAGTCACTGTGATAAGGCAACTGAACTCACTACCACCAAAAAAAGACGACTGAGCTGTCAGTCACTGAAATGCATGACAGAGCACATGGAGTACTCCCCAGAAGTGAAGGATGTCATTAGCAGCGTCCAGTTCATCGCAGAGAACATGAGGTCTCAAAATGAAACCAAAGAGGTAAGGGAGGTAACCACCCAGCTGGGCGTGGGACCACACTTCCAGCAAGTTGAAACATGATCTAGGAGGGCAGTGCAGAGGAACTGTAGTTGTTGGGTCTAGAGAGGAAAATTTTGAGACCTGTGAATGGGTCAAAGTTTCCTACAGAAAGGGAGGAGGTAAATCATCCATTGGGGTTGGAACAAGAAAAGCAATCTCATCATCCCCAGTGGATAATTTAAGCAGCAAGACAGTTTTAGATTAGATATGAGGCTTACCCTTCAAAGGAAAAGGAGCATCAGTCTGTTGCAGCCATGAGGAATGAACTTTGATCAGCAGTGGTCCAGGCAGAGTTGATCCTGCCATAGGGCAGGGGATAGCCTAGACAGGACCTTTCCAGGTCTCTTCCAACCCTACTTCTGTAAATCCTCAGAAGCAACCTTCCACTGCTCACCAACTGCTCAGCCCTGGTAAGCAGTGACATGTCAATACTAAGCGTGCTTTTTGCCAAGCAGGGTGTTTTCTGTGTTAGTAATGGAACAAGCAAATTTGGGAACAGATTTTTAAAGAATGGGGCTTGTCTAGCAGTGCAGTAGTTGATCTGGGGGAGAACTATTCTCAGCCAGTGATTAATCTGCTAAAGATATTCCTTTCAGAATGCTGTTTTCTGTACTTTCTTTCAGTCTGGTGTGTTCTGATTTTTTTACAGTGATTTGACTAATTGTGCCTTCAGCAATACAGTGTTTTCAGCCATGACAAACACATGCTGAAAAAAAAGTTGAGTTTTGGGGGAATACAGCTGAATAAAAACAGACAACAGATGAATAAAGACATTAAAAACAAAGAGACTTGGCATTTGAACTAATGGATTTGCTTGTGTGAGGTTATAAATCTTTCATCCTAACTGGGATTACTGTCATAGAAAATGATGCACGTTGAAGTTTATAGAATTCTGGGGCCAGATTCTCAGATGTAAACACAAGAAACTAAAAGCAGCTCCAAGAAAGATTAACTGACATTCCCCCCACATCCAGGCCTCACAGGGAATAGGAATTGTCTGACACTTCAAGATGTTTTAAAAAAGCTTTTAGAACCTTGGCTGACATACCAGAAGGCTGTGCTGCCATTCAGTGAGATCTGGATGGGCTGGAGAGCTGGGCAGAGAGGAACATAATGAGGTTCAATACGGGCAAGTGTAGGGTCCTGCACCTGGGGAGGAATAACCCCATGCACCAGTACAGGTTGGAGGTCAACCTGCTTGAGAATAGCTCTGCAGAGAGGGACCTGGGAGTTTTGGTGGATAATGGGATGACCATGAGCCAGCAATGTGCCTTTGTGGAAAAGAAGGCCAACAGTGTCCTGGGATGCATCCAACAGGATGCATCAAGAAGAGCATGGCCAGCAGGTCAAGGGAGGTTATCCTCCCCTCTACTCTGCCCTGGTGAGTCCATGTCTGGAGTACTTGTCCAGTGCTGGGCCCCTCAGTTCAAAACAGACAGGGAACTACTGGAGAGAGTCTAGCGGAGGGCTACTAAGATGATTAGGAGGCTGGAGCATCTCTCCAATGAGGAAAGGCTGAGAGACCTGGGGCTGTTTACCCTGGAGAAGACAGAGAGGACCTTATCAATGCTTATAAATTGGATATCTAAAGGGTGAGTGTCAAGAGGATGGGCCAGTCTTTTTCATTGGTGTACAGCGAAGGGACAAGAGGCAACAGGCACAAACTGGAGCACAGAAAGTTCTGCCTGAGCATGAGGAAAATCTTCTTTACATTGAGGGTGTCAGACCACTGGAACAGGCTGCCCAGAGATTATGGAGTCTCCTTTGGAGATACTCAAAACCCACCTGGATGCACTTCTGTGTAACTTGCTCTAGGTGAACCTGCTTTGGCAGGGGAGTTGGACTAGATGACCTACCCCTACCGTTCTGTGATTCTCTGATTCTGTAATGAAACATTTATCTTTGATCTGTCAGGAAATGTTTGCTTCTGGTTTTGAAGTTTTTAGACGCTTTACGACAGCAAGATCCATTTGAAAATTAAATACTGCTGTATTTTTATTGAAAAATGCCAATACTTTGTGAGGGAAATGTTGAGCAGTGTTCTTCCTATCAGAATATTTTGTTGAAAACAGCACAAATTCCTGCAACTTCTGTGCAACCCCAAAATTACTTTTTTTCCCTTTTTCATGTCCTGCAGAGGTTTCATCTGAAAACAAAGTCCGTAACTTTCTGAATAAAGGACTACAGTTAAGGCCTAATGACTGAATTCATAGGATGAGTAGGTAATATATGCTAGCCCAAAGCAAAAGACAGGAATCTATTGGCACAGAGGAGGATGGGGATTGAGCTGACCCATGCTTAGTACCTATGCCCTTAGTGTTTTGCTTGACCTAAACATTTTAGCCATGCTCTCACTGCCGCATCAGCTGCATAAAACATATTCATGTACTATATTCAGCTGATTTCTCCAATGCACTCCAAAAAAGAGGCATATTGTGAAGCAGTCCAAATAACGTGCTACCTTGATTATACAGCTCATGATAAGTCTTCCATTGCCAGTTTTGCTGATTTGCATTTTGCAAATCTCTCCTGCCACATGAAATTGTATTCTTAGTCTGGTGTGCGCATCAGCAGCTCTGTATCTTACTTTTCAAAACACACTAGGGATGGAAAGCAGGATTTTCCATTTGAGAAAAATCCTCTTTTGGGGGAAGAAAAGGGGTTTGTTCTCACATGGGCAATGAGGAAATGATTCTGCAGACTGCTTCTGCTTCAGTCAGACATACAAAGCCATATCGGTGATACCATGCACTTGTCCTGTATCAATAAAAGCCCTTTAAAAATTGTGGCAACATTTACAGCAGCTGGAGTTCTTGCTGCATTTTCTGTCACAAGAAGTACAGCAGCAGCACCTTGGAGGAAAACATCAAGAAACGGCAAACAAGTGCAAGATCCTTAAGCAAAGAGCTCTTAGCCAGTCACTGGTTTTATATGAGTGAATGTTCTGATGCAGCAGTCTTTGTATATAGGTACATTTAAAGGACAGCAACTTCACTGAACGTGGTTCTAAGGTTTATCTCTCAGACATACAAAATCGACTCTGGCCTGATTAGCACATGACACAGTGGTTTCTCAGTCAGGGCCCTGGCTTTGCCCTATGTGTTCGACTGTCCGGTCTATGTGTCTGACTGTCCAGTTTGCTGAAATCAGTGGGGCTTGATTGGAGTGACATTGTGGTGAATCAAGCGGGACTAGTGAACTGTCTCTTGTGTGAGTTGTCAGGATAAATCCTTTGACAGGGTCTAGTGATGTGCAGCTATGGTGATTCTGCCTGTTGTTAACCCGCCCCACTCTGCACCCACCATATGATCAGGTCCTATTTGTTAATGTCAGCATCACAGCCATAGCTTGCCAACAGACTTGAATATTTAGAAAAATTCAGCAGACTAGGACAGTGTTGAATTCTCAGCCAAAAGTGCTAAATGCCCCCTCTAAAGACACTTGAAAACTGCAGCAACTATAAGCATGACAAGCAACATTCTTGACTGCATGTATGTTCTTCTTCATATTCAAAACCACAAGGCACATTTCTGCTGCATAATATCAATTTGCAATTGCGTGCTATATTACACATAGTTTATCTTTTTTTTTCTCTCTTGCAGGTGGAAGATGATTGGAAATACGTAGCTATGGTGATAGACAGAGTATTTCTCTGGGTATTTATAATCCTTTGTGTGTTTGGGACTGCAGGGCTCTTTATCCAGCCACTAATAGCAGATGCATAACTTGATCCATTGCTTTTTATCCACTTCTGTTATTGTTTCATTTTCAATTCAGAACTGTCCCCTATATTTCTCTCCTCTTACACAACTCCTCTGCTCATCGCCTCCTCAGCACCCAGCCACAGAGGAAGGGAGAAAGTGAGGGAAGGTCCTCTGGAAAAGCAAACAACCCGAAACAGAATGAGAAGACTGAATACAGGAGATGTGGTCTTTCTACGGCGGAATGCCTGGGATTTTTAGAGTGCTTGCCTGTCTTTCCCTCTGTGAGTTCAGCAATAACAATCACACTGAGGATCACAGGAGCAGATTGAAGTTACTGAGCTTTTTTTTCCCCTTCATTTCAATACAGAGGACTATTAGGATAGTTCAGTCTGAGTGCATTGCCCAAAGAGGACTCTACCTGGCTTCATTTTTCTCTCCTGATCATAAGTCTTCCTCAGCTTTGAGTTAATTTGCATTTCCTCTCTATTTCTCTCCTTGTACAACAGCTAGTCTTTGGTACGGCACTTAGATGAGATACTGCAGTCCTACTGACTGGACCAATGCTTTTTATTGTGTTTTTGTGTCACGGCAGCCAATATTCAAAATAGAAGTACAATCAAACCAATCTCTTGACCCTGTAACATTTTCAATACAGTCTAAAATAAGGGGTCCCCATCTCCTGCAATATATGTACACAAATGAGGGTCCCAGATCAACAAAGCGTGTGTTTACATTTATGTTTGAAGTCAGACAGACAAGTTGAAGACAAACTGACTTAATATTTTGCACTGCATGTAGCCTTGTAGCCTTGTAGCCTTGCTGACATCATTTGAAGCATCCTAGAGACATGAAAGAGGAATAACCTGGATGTACTATGGGAAACCAGAAAAGACCTGAACTATCTGTGGTTGCCATAAGGCATCCACATTTGAAATCTTCATACTTCTAAGACCTTTAAAAACTAGTTCATCTGCCACTTAACTTTGCATGTGACCAAAGTCCCCTTTACTTCCTGATACTTAGTGAGCTCCAGTAAGATTTCCAAGCCACATTTCTCTCATCAGGTTAACAGTGGTTCCAGTCCACTGGTTCTGCTCTGGAAACTCGTGGTTTCTCAAGCTCAGACATAAACCCAACAAGGAAGGGTTTGTCCCTGCATAGCTACCCATCACAAACAGGATTGGCTTGACAGCATTGGGTTGATCTGAGTTTTCCTGTGTTTTTAAAACCCAAGACTGACTTAGTTAACACACATCCCAGCAGGAGAGAGCTGGCTATCAGGAATCCTATGCAAAGCTGGGCACTTTGGTCCAAACAGCTCTGCAGCAATTTTCCATTTGCTGGCTCCTCATGAGTCAGTGCTGTGTACTGTGTGCAAACCTGTAACTGTAGGGACACTTCCTCTGGGCCTGAGGCTGCTGCTGTATAACCAGCTTCCCAGTCCTAGTGCACTTAATCCTGAAACACTTTTTAGATGTGCGCCTGATGTGGTTTCTATACTATGCAGACAGTTTACTCTCGGGTCCCTTGTCTGTTTAGATTCCTATTGGTTTTTTGCTGAAGGATTCTTCTCTAAAAGGCACTGTTCCAATTAAACCAAATGGCTTCAAGAGTAAAAAGCCCTTCTCCCTTATAGGAGGCTCTAAATTTAACTGTACAGTGTCAATGCGGTTTTCAGTGTCTGCTGTGTATCAGTCTCTGCCTTGAACATCACCAGTCTTTGGAAAGTGTTACTCCCTGTTTCTGAAGTCTCTGACTAGCCTTTTACTCTTTTTTTGATGCCCCATAATAAAGCAAATAGAATTGAGTAAATGTATATGTGAGAGGTAAAGGTGGGATGACAAGAATATAACAGTCTTAATCCCATAGTTTAAATATTAGAGTCATGATTTTCTAGAAGAAAACCATATTTTCTGTAATCCCCCTGAATGTTGCATAGTTATGTAGTGACAGACAGACAGACATATGAACAAGCATGATTTGTTTTGTCAGCCTGTCAATTAAATATCACTCCTGGGATATACTTTCTTGAAGAATTTGTGGTTTTTTAAGAAACTCCCTGCTGTGCAGTGTCTTTAGAGATGCTACTAAATGACATTTGCTATGCTGGCTCTTTAATCAGAAAGGAGGGGAGGGGAAAGAAAGCAAACTTGGAAAGGAGAGCTGCATTCTGAGCCTGAAAGCTTTCTACAGGAAAGACATTTGACTGACAGTGTTCACAGTTGCACTCTATGACCTTACAAATAACGAAAATATTGTGGCTGAAGGTGTACTGCATTGGTGACTTAGGCATGACAGCTACTACCCCACAGACAGTGAGCTGATTTTAGCAAAATCCCTGGCTTTTTACCAAAGCATTCACAATCGTAAAGCTCCTCATCTCCGGTTAGGAGACCTCTGTGCCCCAGCACCAGCTCCCTGTCTTTGTCATTTACAGCGCTATACACCTCTCTGTCTTGCCTCTGGACCTCAAACACAGGGTTTGGGACAGTATAGCTCATCAGCCAGATATCCTAAGAAAGTAAGATTTACAAAGTGATGTTCTGTCTCTTTCCCCTTCCTTCCCCCCACCCAGTAACCTTTGGATCCTTCTTTTACCATTTTCAGCTGTATTTGGCATATTCACAACTGCGAACCTTACGTATTCCTGTCAGCTTTGTGAAAGTAGCTGGCTGATTAGAGAGAGCGGAGATGGGGAACACAATAAGCATCTCACCTTGGAGAAAGCTGCAGTAGGGGCCCACCTCTGAGCAGACATGGAAGAACCCACACAAATGTGACATTTTTGCTTGCCCCAACTCTTGTTGGGGGACCTTCTAACTGAAATACCAAGAAAAGTTTCAGCCAGAGCTGGTGCCATCCCAGACACTGAGTTGGGTCACACACTACACACAACCACAGTAAAAGTACCCCTGTTCATTGCAGGGCACACAGAGTGGTGTGTCTATTCTCAACCCAACAGCTCCAAAGCCACATCAGTAACATCCCTCATTATACCTCCTAGTGATAACTGTAGCACTAGCAGTGAGAAATCTCCTTCCCTTGAATGTGGTGGCATCCATGAATTTTAAAAACAAAGAAGCAATTCAACAGCTCAACCAGCTCATTACATTCTCTTCCCAAGGGAGGCATCTTTCCACTTTCCCCCCACTACAAGGTTCAGAGGACATATCTATCATATCAGTGTCTTGATGAATGGCTGATACACAGTGTCCTGCCAAGCAGTGCCAAGGCCCTGATAAACCACTGACCAGAAATCAAGGCAGCACATTTTGAGGCACTAGTAAGGCAGAGGGCTGCTGTTTTGGGTTTTTTAGGATTTGCAATTTGCAATGTCGTCATCACAGGCAGGGCACATGGAGCAGAGGGAAGGAGCCCATCAGAGGACTCTCTGCCCAAATGTCCTCCCTAGTTGGGTTTTTCAATGGTAGGCCAGACTATGGGACATGATGAACGCATTTGTGAGCTAGTGGCAAAGAGGCCCAGGGAAACTCAGGAGCAGTCAGCGCAAAGAAATAATGAGTAGTGAGACTACAGATGTAGCAGTCCCAGATGCAAAGCCAGGAAGACCAGAGGCTGAAAGCCATACCTGTGCAGTGTTCATACATCTCCCACTCCAAGGACTTGAGCCCTGTTGACCTTTACCAGCATGAGCCAGAAACAGCAGCTTGGCATCAGACACAGCCACGCGAGACAGCCATATGTTGCCTGTGAGTGGGCAACCGAAATGTCACCAGGTGAGGACAGGACCATCTGCCAGCTAAACACTTGAAGCACTTGCCCAGGAGAGGATTTTGTCATCTGTCATGTGTGATAGACAGCCCCCTGGCAGCAGTTCTCAGAGGGAAAACCTACCGGTAATGGATTTCAAGAGTCTGTAAATGCTGCAAAGAAGAGCTTCCTGGCTGCCTTCCTACGGATATTTCACAGTACTGGCCAGGGGAACAAACTGACTTAAACAATGCAAGGAGAGAGGAGCAGCTGGTAGTAAGGTCATTGTGTAAGTGTTTTATACCACTATCTTATGTTAAGACATCTATTTGTATATACTAAACTAAGTGAGTCTGTTCTAGGTTCATGCAATATAATGACCAGATCTGAATGCTCCCTCCTCAAACTCACACGCAGAGCTAAAAAGTTATGAGGCATTTCCAAGAACGTGACAACCTCTCCATTTGAATAGATTTGACACAAGGCTTTTAAAAAATCTAGACTTTGTTGACAACAAAACAGCAACAAAGCACAGCATATGAGCACTCTCACCCCAGGAATCATTTACTAAATACACCTTTATTAATAATGATTGCACAAGCGAACAGAACTTGCCGTGACACAACAAGGTGGGATGATATCTCACAGAGGTCTGGCCTGCATGCATAATCCAAGCCCAAGAATACCTCCATGTGTTTTTAACACCTTCTAACTTCCATCCCTAGGGAGAAAGTTTGAAGGCTAGCTAAAGCTTTAACACCAGATTCACATTTAGATTGTTGAAAACTGGATCCCCAAATCTCTTACTAGCCTTGAAAATATTTGCAATTTCTGAATGGGATTTTCTAAAGCACTCTATGTTGGCAAAACACTGCCCCGGCAAAACACTGCCCCAACAAAAGCAGTGAGAGCTTCACCTGTGCATTTTCTGTCAGGTTTCATTTGCAATTTCAAGAGCTGTTTCTAATCATGCAGAAGGATCCCATTTAAATGAATCAAAGGAATGGAAATCTGAATTGCCTGGAAAACACCCAAAGGTGCATCTTCTCAATAGCCAGCCTACCCACAGCTCTCAGGAGAAACTCCACTTCTGCACCAGCCACAAGTTTCATTTAACAAAAACAATGTCTGCATCTTCCCTCAAACTGATAGCCACCTTTCTCCATATGATATGCTTCAGGTGATCTTCCACTTCCACTTGTGAACAAGCAGGTGCAGGAATCATAGTTTCTAAATGAGGAGCATGGGGAAATCCTTACTTCTTCAGCCTTTTGGTACATTACAGAGCAGCAGGTGAAACTGCAAATAATTCTGAAAAGTGGGTAACACCTTGTAGCTTCCAGGTGGCCAAGAGGAGTAATGAAGTGTGCATGCCATAAAGTCTGGTAGCAAATGGGCAGAGTGGTAAGTTCTGCCACTGTTGAGCTGATTCTGCAGCAAGATGAGGTCAGAGTCAAGGTTTTGAACATCCCATCTAAAAGGTATTTGTATTTCTTATGCACATGCTGTGCGATTGCCAATTCTGACACATGCACAAAGTGATTTTTGTGGTTTTTACTTGGAAACATAGATAAACTGAGTACTGATTTTGTTTCTACTGTAATTTCTGTTTTAAAGTAGCATTTTAACTGACCGGTTTGCCTTTTAAGTATAAACATTGTGCCAGAAGTACTATTTCCGATTTTAGCTAATTATCTTGGCTTTTATTGTAATATAACCAAGCTAATAGTAAATTACTATATAAACCCAATTGTGGAACCCCAATTCACTTTAGGACTCAGCTGTGCACCAAGCCCTTCTCTGGTCTCAGCCAAATCTGTAACTGGTAGAGTTGTATGAAGATAGAAAACACTAGCCAATGCTCACTGTTACCATCACCTTCCCTAGTTCTTGCTGCTGCTTCCCATTCTGTACCATAGAGACTAAGCTCAAAGGCACCACCATCCCTTGGCTTTGTACTTGTTGTATGTTACTGTGGGAGCATTGTCTACAAAGTGCTGTTCAGCCACATCTGTAATGCAGGGGTAAAGATGAGAACTGAACCTGTCACTGACACCACCAGAAATAACCACAGGAAGATCCGATCCAGGACTTGAGCTACAAATTTCCAGTCTTGGACAACCTGGGAAGAAGAGAGAGAGAACAAACAGAAAGAGTAGCAAGCCCAGTACTTTGTTGATATTACTACATACATTTCAGCTCCAAAAATCTGTTTTTAAGATTAGGAGTTTTCAGCACCCATAGCTGCAATTCACTCAAAACCTTGAAACAGTTCCATAGTTCTACCTGCACGGTATTCAGACTTCCTTCAGCCTGGGCAAAAGCTTTCAGTTAAGTGCCTGTGTGAACATTTGCAGGCTCAAGCGTGAAGGTGGCTTTATAATAAACTGACTTTCTTTTCAAAGAACTTCATTTCCGTTAAAGTGCCAGGACTTGGCTCTGGCACAGCACTTCGATGCAGACATTACTTCCAGTACAAGTACATTGGCTTGTATTTGCTTAAGTGCTCTGTTGGCTCTGATTGTGTACATTCAGGAGATTTTGCATTGTGAGTATTGGCACAAACCTGCACACACAAAAGAGCTATTCATAAAAGCAATTCAAAGGGCTTTTTTTTATTAAAAATTATTTCAGCTTCAAATAGAAGGCTTCAGTCATTAACACTATGCGTTCACATACTGCATGTTTGATTTACTGTTCGTCTTTCTGCTGAAGTTCTCTCAGCACAATTTGAACAAAACCCTGGCTTTTGCTAGGAGGGTGCTAACAGCAGTTTTTCTCTTTCCATATACTGCTAGGTGTCTTGCTCTGCTGTCCTACCCTCGCATGAGATGCATTGTTTATGCATACAGTAATTTGCCATTTTAATAGCTAGGTAGATTGTTGGGAAGAGGAGAAACATGGTAGTTGGGGACTAATCTGAACTGATGTTAGTGAAAATCTAGAAGACCTCCACTCAAAACAGGGCAGCTACACTGTGTATAGTCACTGGGAGGCCAGGACTGAAACCTAGCAACAGCTGCAAGGCCTGCCTGTAAGTGTTGTGGAAGATACCCTTTCAGAGCATGTGACAGTTCAGAGGTTTTCCATGTCTATCCCAAATTTAAGCAGGACAAGGTTATTCAAATAATCCCAAAACAGGAATTCCTCCAGGAGAGGCTGCTGTGCCCTTTTGTGCCTGTGAAAAGCAGGGACTCTCACAGCACAATACAGTTCTCCTTGAAGCAATGTATTTTCCCAACACCCATATTATTTATCAAGCAGGGGAAGCTTCCAGGATATGTCTCAGGTGAGAACAGAAGGAACAGGCAAAGGCGTGCAGAAAAGGTAAGAACTTGGAAGCCATTGCTGCCAAGGACATTGTGATCCCTCCTTGCCCTCCCTTCACCTACCTGTCTGATGAAATGCTCCTTTTTGACATGCCTGGAAATGTATCGAATGGAGTCAGCAGCCTTTTCCAGAAAGGCAATAACAATTTTATCTCCGTCTTTTGCTTGCTTGTGTTTCTGCTTCCCCGGGAGCTTTGATTTCAAGGTGGTTTCCTTTTCTTCAGTCTCTGAGAAGGAGTAACGATCTACATGGCCCTTCATGCAGAGCAGCCGAGGCAACTTCTGGAGGAAGAGTCTTTTAACCCAAGGAGCCATGGGATGGTAAGTTGCTGAGGAGCGGTGGTGGACGTTGATAACAAATACAGTGACGATGATAGAGAGGGTCACAAAAATCATGATGAACAGCAGATACTCACCGATCAGAGGGATGACTTTGGAAGAAGAAGGGATTATTTCCTCAATCACTAAAAGGAAAACAGTGAGGGAGACTAGAACGGATGTAGACAATGAAAGCTTTTCTCCTTCATCTGAAGGCAGGTAAAACACCAAGACAGTTAGAAAAGACAATCCCAGACAAGGGATTATTAAGAAGAGAGTGTAAAACAGTGGAAGGCGTCTCAACACAAAGGAGTAAGTGACAAATGGGTAAGAGTACAGCCCATCCTTCCTGTTGCCTTTCATACCTTTGGCATTTAAGATCTCCCACTCTCCATTGTCAAAGAAGTCTTTCCTGTCTACATTTTCATCCACTAAAATCAAGTCCACCATACTGCCATCATATGTCCATGACCCAAACTTCATGGAGCAGTTCTGCCTGTCGAAGGGGAAGAAGGTCACATCCATTGTGCAGGAACTCTTATAACTGGCTGGTGGTGTCCAAGTCACCACTCCATTGTACTTCACTATGACTTTGGTCATCAGGGAGCCTTCAAAACGTCCATCAGCACTGGGAATTGGACAGGAAGAAACAGTAGAAAGTTCAGTACTGGGTTTGCCTCAGTCCTACCCCCTCACAGCTCTGATTTCTACCCATCTCCTGAAGCACAAGGTAAGCCAACATTCATACTGCCTAAAGAAGCAGCCTTCTGACAGCACATGCAAACTTCACAGTGGCTGACATTCCTTGCCCAAGCTCTGGCCTAAGCCCAGAGCAAGGAGTCATGCTACTCACTTTTCAAACAAAACGATGTCTGGAAGCCACAGGGACTCAGAAGGGACACGGATGGCGGTGATCCCACCATATTCCTCTGGATTCCAGGAGAGCTTGTGGTCGATCCATTCCTGTAACAAGCCAGCAGAGTCCTCTGCCCACTCAGACACAACAGCCTCATTCCTCTTCCCCACCACCTGCCTTAGAGGGACTTCATCGCACAGGACAATGGGCAGAGCTTGCTCAGCTGCAGAAAGGATGCCAGGCAGGCATGGCTGGGAGATGTTAATCCTCACAAGCACTGCCCCTCCAGCCACAGGTGGGCTCCAGCAACCCACCCCTTTGCAGGCAACCTCAAGGCAGGCACTCCTTGAGATCACTTGACTCACTTCACTCACCACCCTGCCCAGCCCACCTGAGGGCAGTCCAGAAGTAAGGAGCCTCTTCCCTTGGATATGGCATCTCTTCTTCCCTCTGACAACCAGCCCCACGTATTTTTGGCTGGCACTGGCCCCATAGAAGAGGCAGCTGGCATGGCTACTACTGCCTAAGTGACAAAGGTGGCCTTTAATTACTTTTCAGTGGAGACCTGGCTTTTTACAGTGAACGGAATACAATACCTAATACCTGTACACTGTCCTTGCAAACCAAATCATTGTCCTTTCATCAGAAAGACCTGCACAATATTGCAGGAAAAATAATACAACACTATTGTAAAGCATTTGGTTACAATCCTGAAAAGATAACACTAAAAGTGCAAAAGTAGGGATAGTCATGTCTGTTTTCATCATGCTGAACTCTGGAATAATTTTTCTCTCCTCTTTTTGTTTTTCAGATGGGTAGATCCTAGCAAAGTGGCTCTAGGAGCTTAGAGATTTCCAAGTGCAAAATGCAGTGGAAAAGCATCTCCGTTCATTATTGATGGGGGTTTTCACATGCTCACAGCAATAGCAACAAGAGGAAGCGAGAGCTGTAGACTATGATCAATACCAAGAAGCAGAAGATAAACCACTTTCCATTAAGCTCCAGCACTAAGAGCTCCCCAGGGATGTAGGGGCCTCAGCCTTCTCTGAGCAATTTCCTCCATGACTTATGGATGAACCAAAAAGCTGCTGCTTCTCCCACCATATTGTTCCCCTCTTGCTTCTTTGATTCCACATGCTTTTCACAACTATACCTGCAGACATTTGTTATGGCAGTCTTTTATGGTGTGACAACTACACAGAGCCTCAGTAGAGACCTAAACACAGACAGTGAGAAAAAGCATCTTCCAACTCCAGGTGCAGGGAAGGGATGGGGTCCAAGGTCATGGGCAGGTGGCTAGTAGAGCCATCCTAAAATCTGGCCCAAGGCACAAACAAAGGAGGCAGTTGCCCAGGGTGTTACCATGGCATGATTAATGGCCCCACTACCTGCACCAGAAGATATACGGACCCATTCTCTGAACTGCCCAAATGGCTGGCATCAGCTATCAGGCACAGCCCTCCACCCCTGGCTCCTCCTGCTGCTGAAGAAGGGATGGGAGCTGTTCAGGTGTGGAAAAAGAAGAGGGGTCATTGCTGCTCTTAGCCTCAGCCTCAGGAACAGAACACACCACTTTTAGCATGAACTTTTCTCTGTGGATGTGTATCTAACAGATGTTTCTAGCAGCCTGGGCTATAAGGTGGGCACAGGATCACATGTGTCCTGGACACCTTCTCTAACAGGTGCTAGGGGGCTTAGGCTGGAAACATACCTGTTATGCAAGGAGATAGTCAGGACTGACAGTAGCAACCAATACAGTCTGCTCACAGCCTGCACTAACAACAGAAGCAAATACCCTGTGTGGCACCCTGAGATATAATCATCCCTCTGGAGTTGAATTGGAGCAGATCCTTGGCCTGGGTTATTTGCTGCATCCGCAATGCGCCTTCCTCCCCCCTGCCCTGCATTGATTTTTCTCCCAGCTAAAATGGTCTTTCCTGTCTGCAAGGCATATTGTTGTGTGTCTTCTTACTAGAGCAGAAAATAGATTGTGTGCAGACTTTGAAGATGAGCAGCTGAGAAAGGGAACCTCCCTGTGGGCTATGCTGACACAAACTGTAGCAGCAGACACGAAGGGCCCTTTCCTCTCTTCTCCCTCTCCTACAAGCTGCTCCAGACCCTTCCATTGCCTTCCTCTTCCTCCAGTTCTGCCGAATTCCCATCTCTGGGCTGTCACTCAAGTGCTTAAGCCGCAGCAAGTGAACCGAGAAACACTGAACCCAGATTCTCCACACTTGCTCGTAGACTCCATAGCTTGTCCAAACCCAAATACTTTCTCAGCAACCACTAAAAGCTTGTTTGCACCTTGTGTGTCTGTCTGCATGCACATCATCAAGCCCCACCATCTTGATCATCTGGATGTTGGGGAAAAAAAAAAGTGAAACCCTTTGGATTTAAGCTTTGCTCACCTAAGAAAAACCACAATCTTGCAGAGAAATGATGACTGTGATTCCCCCTCAAACTTACACACCCAGGGTGAGGACCAGACTTCCCTGACCTCCCCAGCTCTTGCAGGAGGACTGGGTCTGTGTCATTAGAGAGTTCTGGTATGTTTTATTGTTTTTCACTTTGGTCTACCCTAAAAAAAAAAATAAAAATTCTGCTTAGTTTTATGGATCTTTTCCTAGCTGTTGTGCTCATGCACTCTAATAATCCCCCAAGCACTGAGTTGCACATGGACATGGGACCCGTTCATACTGAGCCTATGGGAATGCACAACTCCCAAAGCAGGGCACTGGGTGAGGCCACAGGTATTTAGCTCTCAGCCTGAACACCTGGGCACATCTGCATGTGTGAAAATCAGAGCTTGTGTCTCAATTATTTTCTGCTCTCTTTGCATTTCATTTGGGCCTTGGTGTTCTCAGCCCCTCAGATGGAGAATGGGTATTAGAAATGGTAACAACTAGTAAGAGCCCAGCTCAGCAATTCTCAAAATTACAGTGCTGAGTTACCCTAGGGAGCTGCACTGTCTAAAATCTGAGCACAGTCTCCCAAGGCCTCCAGAGAAATCGGCATGTCTACAGTGCAAAGTCCTGAGTAGGTCCTTCTTTTAGCCACAGAGCAAGAGAGAAGGATCAAATAAAGTGGCTTCCCACTTCTCCTCATCCTCCTCCACACCTGAGAGGCAATTGAGTGGATGGTGGCATGTCCCTACCTCCCACAGCATGTTTTGAGTAATCTGCAGCAGAACCTGATTTCCCACAGATAGACTGGTGACAAAGGCTCCAGGCTATGACTCTGGGGAGGTCAGTGCTGCAATACAAACAGTGTGCTCAGTGTGGAAGGGCTAACCCAAAATGACAACCCCCCCACAGGTTCATGCAGCAATGAAGAGTGGATTGGTAGGTGTCTGTTTGCATCAGCATCTCAGGTCTAATGCCCTTGGGCAGCCTGGTCTTGTGATTGGCCTGATAATGTGAGTTAACACTTCAGGTTCCTCTCTTCTGCAGTCACTGTAACCTGGGTAAAAGTGTCATCCAGCCAGAGGGATGAAGGGTTCCCCCAGGGCATAGGAGACTGCTGTCCTGTATGGAGTGAACAGCCATGTCTTCCCTAAGAAGGAGTAGATCAGACCCAGGAATATTCTGTCAAAGGCTGCAAAAGGCTGTAAAATCTTTCTGGGGACACCTGCAGGAACAGAGAGGAGGGTGAAGTGGGTTGATTCCATACCTGCAGACTGCAGGGCTTGGGACTGCAGGGCTTGGACCTGCAGAGGAAGATGTGTGCCGCAGCCTGTGAGGAGAAAGGGTGGGAATGGGGAGTGGTCGAGGGATTACCTTGGTAGAAGGGCTTTGCTGTTTGCCCAGGTAGTAAGGAAGCCAAGATCTGGCCCCGTGCACACGAGGGGCCCTGCAATTTCAGCTGGAGGTGGGGAAAATGTAACACTGCAGCTCTTTTAGGGCAGGCTCACAGCAGTTTGATTCAGATCAGCGTCAAATTTCCCCAGCAAAAGGGAAATTTCCTATCCTCCCTGCAGCAAGTGAAAGTCTGAGATTCTCCCTCTTCAAGGGAGAGACCATCTTTGCATATAATGTCCCTACAGCCTTTACAGGTCCTGCTCCACACAGAAGCTCACACTCACTGAAGCACTACAGGTACCAGACTGAGAACAAAAACTGAGCTACATTTCTCCTCCACCAGCCCAGAGACCCCTGGGAACCATATCCCATAGCATCATTTCAAGTACAGTTTGGGGTTTATGTCCTCTGCCTAGGATCAGCTGACATGTTTATAGATGCTCACATAGCTGAGAGACTTAAAATAATTGTCACAAAGTCAATAAACTGGTGCAATGTAATCTAAACCAAATCCAGTGTTCTTCAGGAGTGAAGAGGAAAGAAGATCTAACAAGTTCAACTTGTACCTTTCCCCCATTTGTATAAATTATTGTCACTTCCAGAAGCAATTATGTTATAGAGATGTGATTAATTTGCCACAGATTTTAATTTGGGGGAATTGGGGTGTGGAGGGGTGTAACATGCTGGCTTTTTCTTTGCTTTCTTTGTTTTTGCTGAAGAAGAAATCTGTCCAAGGCATCACACTTATCTGGGGCAAGAGAGACAGTACTTGCATGACCTCTAAGTCTGAGACAGGATAGTCTCTCAGGGCACACACAGCATCCCAGGAAGAGCCACTGCAGTTTCAGGAGATGTTACTTCCCTGAAATACAGCTGGCTTGAGACACAGCTGGGGTGCAGGCCAGAAGAAGAGGGTACCTGATTTCCTAAAGGACCACCTGCCTGCCTTTCTGTCCCTTTATGCATTTGCTGAAGTGAGAGGAGTAAACTAAAAAATTCAGGCAAGGTACTGCTTTTGTCTGGCCACTCAGCATCATGAAAGGGTATGGATGGCACAGCGGGCAGGAGGCTGGGATAGGCGCTTAGCTCAGCAGCCCCACACTGAAAGGGGAGGTCTGATTTGGTATAATTTACCTGCTTCAGCCACACGTTCGTTGTCATCAGCTGATTCTTCTCATCCTAGGGGGACAGAAGGTAGGATTTCAATAGCAAAACAGACAACAGAAACAGACCCTATGCCTGCTGAATCCAAACCTGTGCCAAGCAGAGCAGATCCCTATAGTCCTGTTTCCCCTTGGACCTGGGATCTTCAGACACTCTTGGGAGAAGTGAACTGACTTTCTAGGTGCTGTCCCTGCTCTCACTGGGATTTCCTGAGGCTGGAAAAGAGAGAACTGGCATTTCACAGCAGCCCTAAGGAATAAGATGCTGAAGAGCAGGGAGGCAGCAGGGCTTAGCCAGCAAGTGGGGTCGGGACACACATAGTTGTGGTCTCACAGGCTGGCTATTCTCCCCACACTGCTCAGCCTGGAGTGGGTTTAGGAAGACACAAGATGAAACATTGTCTTAAGGATGTAAACATAGCACAAAACTAGTGTGTGCCTTCCACAGCACAAGTGGACGCTGCCAGGGGACGGGGATGCGAGGAGCATACTGTTGTATGCATGCCTCTGGGCACTGTGCAAATTCCACTGTGCATTGCAGTGATGGAGGGGAAAGAGAATGGAAACTTTCCACATGGGCAAAACCATGGGATTGTCTGTTTTGCCTCTAGTGTCTTACCTGGCTGGCCAGCTGGGTCAAGATATAAACTGCCTTTGGCCTGGATACAAGCTTGCTTAGAGCGAACAATGTCCAAGCAGCTCTACCGTTCCTCACCCCTGTCCTGTAGCTGCCTTGTCATTAAATTGCAAACATAGGCACCAGGGACCATCTGGCACGGACTGTTTGATAACACCTGGTGCAATGAGGCCTTATTCCCTGAGAACAGTGGCAAAAAAAGGACCTTCACGTTTGCCACAAAACAAATGAGTCTCACAGCCTGCGCTGTACATGGGGCAGGAGATCGTACCACCAGCGCCACATCACACTCAGTAATTTATTGCCTAACCATCACATTGCATTTCAAGTGTCAGGAGGCAAATGCCAATAGCATTACCAGCCCTCCCAGGTGGATGCATATAAAAGAAGGGATGTTTTATCAAGCCCCACACAACACTTACCACATCCACAAGCTGTGATATCTTTAATCCAAAAAGGACTTTGATGGTGTCATTGGAGTTTTCCACAGGGCGGACCCATTTCTGATAGCCTTGAAATAAGTGCTTGAGGAGCGCGCCCTCATTTTCAGCAATTGAACTGAAGGCAGCCACATCTGGAAAAGAGCAACAGAGAGTGGGGGTGTGCCAGAAAGCAGAGGTAGAGAACGATATGACCTGAAGAAGTGAGGCAAAGTGATGATGTGAGACAAATTCGCCTCCAGGCAGCTCTTGTCAGTAAAAGCTGCAGGAATTCGGATGCACAGACTCAGCAGAACCAGGGCAAGGAGAGGAGAAGGCAAGACAGCCCAAGCCCAACTCATACACAAAAAAATTTATTAGACCAGAGCGGTGATGACTTTGTACCAGGTTTCAGCTTTCTGTGGCCTTTTTGTCTTGAGTCAACATACTTGCTCTGTCTTTCTTCTTTATTATTCTTTAGAAAATCTGCAGGCTCAGAGAATCAAGTGCTCTCTTCCACTCTTGAGCAGTAAATACCCAGCGTGATAAATGCCACCCTGAGAAAGAGTTCTGGTTTTTAGGATACCTGTGGTGTACCACAGAGAGCTGGGGCCTCAGGGAAAATCTGGTCACTGTGGAGCAATCCCTGGCTGGCTGGCTAGCAGCTCAAAACAGCAGAACCACACTGTGAGCATTTCAGGGCCCAGGGGTTTCACTTGCACTTGGTTGGTTTCTATGACGTCTCCAAGACAGAGGCTACCCTGCACAAGGATTGGGGTGGCAGGATTTCCTCACTGGAAGCTGCAGGGCATGTAAGCCAGATCTGAGGGAGCCTCATGATATAGCAGGTGGAAGTGAATCCTCCTTCTGGGGTTAACCAGGGGGTAGCAGCAAATCACTGAGGAAGAAGAATTCTCCCAGTCAGGGGGTGGGTTGGGTGGGCAACAACACTGGTGGAGCAAAAAGCAAAAGGAACTCATCTGGCAGTAGAAGGAGCTCAATGATGCAGCCAGGGCCAAGTCTGCCTGCAACCAAGCACAGAGCCATCAGGGTCTATACCTGCAAGACTTGGGACTCCTCCTGTCCCTGTAACCACACTCCCCCTTCTCCCTGCTACCATGAAGGGGGAAGGGCAGTTCAGACCCTCTATTATTTCCAAATGCCAGCCCCACTCTCCGTGATGCTGAGGTCCTGACGTGACCTCCACCTCTTCCCTTGTGTGCGCACACAGCACTCAAGTGTGAGAAGGATTTCACTTCTCTTCAAAGGCACCATGGAGGGAGAAGCAGCTTGTGCTGATCGGCCCTGTGCTGTGGGGTTCACAGCCAATACTGCTGTGCTAGCAGTCAAAGGGGACCTCACAGGGCGCTGCCTAGGGCCCACCTTGTCCCCTCACCACATGTGATGAGCAGGACACCTGTGCCTGGATTGCCAGCCATTAGGTACAGGAGGAGTCTGCAGCAGAGGGCCATGGCTGAGGGACAGTGAGGACTGGGTGATAGGACAGCCCTGGCAGGGGGCACAGCTGAGGGGCTCATATGTGCTGTGCAGCAACCATCAGTAGTAAGGCAGCCCCCAGCAGGGTCCCTGTGCCACAGGGAGAGAGGAAAGGACATCCGAGCTCAGCAGCATCTCCAGAGAGAAAACCAGAGGCAAAGTTAAATGCTCTGCCACCTGCACAGAGAAAAGGGCATGACCATGGACCACTATCACTGTCCGTGTCCCCTTCCCCCAGAGCTGCTGCCTACCTCCTGTGCGAGACAAGCCATGCAGCCTCCCCTCCCTCAGCGAGGCCTGTGTGAGGCCGGGCAGGGCCTGAAGCAAAAACCCTGCTCCCATGCGCCAGAATTTCCTGTAGTTGTTTCTTGATGCAGTCTGGATTCTCTCGGGATAGTACAAGGTCCAAGCAGCACTGTCATCCCCCACTCTCAGCCACAGCAAATGCCCCTTCCTCTTTGAGAAGCTATAAACTCTGAAGCCTGATGACTGCCACTCACAGGGTAACAACTACTTTACTGTCAGAAGTTGTAGCACATGCTATGCTTGTCTTCTGTTGTTGGACATGCAGTCGTGGTGGGGTTACCACACCCTGGAGAGGTGGAGACCAGCTGTTCCGTGGGAGCTTTCACACTCCTTTCCACCTGCTCTGCACCACAGCCAGGGATGGGCTCATGCAGCTGTCAGTAGAGTTTACAGCAGCCTCTGCAGCCACCCTGTCTTGCTGCTTTGAGGTCTGCTGTTACTGATGGGGAAGCTACAAAAGCCCCTTCTGCTTGCTCCAGGGTTTATTTGTACACCAGGCCTAACCCTAGCTCCACCACAGCAAATAGGGGACAGAGTCTGGGGTCTGTCCTAGGAAAATGGATTGCCTGCCCAAACATGCCAGACAGGAATTTCATCCGCAACCAAAGGAAGAGAAAGAATGTATTTCTGCCCCTTCACTACCCACAGCTTCAGTGGTCCAGTCCACTGACACAAGAGAGTCTCTGCAGAAACCCCAGCTCCCGGCACTTTTGCTTTCCCTTTAGGAGGCTCATAGGAGTCCATGGTTTTTAAACACAGGAAATTTAATGGGAAGGCCATGGAACAGAAAAAATCCACAACCCCAAAACATGCGGGATCAAAACCAGCTTTGTCATAGTGCTACAATACTTTGCTCTGCATTTATTTGTGTGTAACTCCCTGCACATACATACACGGGCATGGTGTCTGTGGCTGTGTATGAACTCCTTTATAGGAAAACGGTGCTGTTTCACAGCCCATGCCTCACCTGAAGTCCAAGGGCCCTAATGCTCCAACAGAGTATAGCAGAGAGGTGGTAAAGCTGGTTTTGGGGCTGGATGTGTTGATTCTCAGCTGCTGGGGAAGCCACAGAAAAGAGTGAAAAAGACTTGAGAAATCTCGCAAAGAAGAAAGCCAGAAGGCACAAGGTTGGTGCCCTTATAAGACAGCCTCAGTACATGCAAGAGAACAGTTTAAAAGCAGAAATTTTTAACGAGAAGGAAGACGTATCAAGTGGAAAAAATAGCTTAACAGCTCCTTTGATCAAGCCCCATCTGATGATTAAGTTAGATAAATCCATGGAGAAAACACTGAACAAAGTATCACTGCCTTTGAAAAAACAGGCATTCCTGAATTTACCATATAGGGCACAGAGAACGCAAAATTTGGGGAGCTTCCTGGCAGGTTACAACATGTACAATAACAAAGCACTGTTTACCTTATCCCCTCTCCCCCAGGTTCTTGTTTCTCCCTGCAGTCCATGCCAGGAGCAGTTCCCCACAAGCATAGGAACAGGAGTGCTGGTGCAGGCAGTCTGCTAAACAAATGTGCAAAACTCCCCAAGAAATGCAGACAGGACACAGACTTTCATCAGCTCACCCGAGATATTTCAGTTTTCTTCCTGGTGATGGAGATTCTCCTGTAACTCCGTTTAGCAGCGACAGCCGAGCTTGGGATTTTTTTGTTAACTTCTACCCAGAGACCACCCCCCCTCCCATCCCAGTTAATAAAACCTTATTGCCAAACTGGCTGTGGTTGTAGTACAAAGGCAACAGCTGATACAACCCTGTTCTGCTAGTCAGACAGTGTTAAGAAGAGGACCAAGGGAAGCCGGCACCTACCTTATACCAGCAAGCAGCAGCTACCGGCCAGCAGAAAAAAAAATCTTAACCGTCTGCAGCTCGGCTTGGAAGAAGAAATCGCACTTACCTGGGCGGCTCAGACACAGCGCAAAGAGCACTAGGCAAAGCATGGGCACCTCTGTGGCTTTTCCTTTAAATCTGATCTTTTGTTTTCATAAGCAAATCAGTCTCCCCCTAGTAGGGGACTAAAACAATCTAGTTAAAAATCAAGGCGGACAGTTGAGTCTGCAAGGCAGGACAGCACCTTTTGAGCCTTATCTTGCCTCATTATGATGCTCTGTAAATCACACTTCATTGATTTTCAGTCAGCTGTCACATCCCTTAAGCCTAAAACAGGACTCTGGGTCCTAAACTCTGACTGATTTGTTTGTGGCAGTATTTGGGTGGCTATAGCCACTGAGGTTTAAGAGTAGAAGTAAGGCAAGGTTTTTAAGGAGGACAAATGCCAGTTACAGCTGAGGAAAAAAACAGGCTGCAGATCAGACCCAAAGATGGATCACATGCCTGAAAGACTGTTTGCTCCAGCTGTATTAGTTGGTCTAATAAAAGAGGCAGCCTCCCTACAGACCTAACTTAACTTATTCATTTTTCATTCTACAGTTGCTGTTTTGCAGCTATAAAATGGATTTTGGGAGGAAAAAAAACAGTAAGATATACGTGGGAAAACAGGGCTGATTTCTAAATTTTTATCTCATCATTCATACACAAAACATCACAGACAAGAGCACAGAAATGCTTTTACAGTACTGTCATTGGCACAGCTTGACAGAGTATGTTGCCCCAGAGCCTAGTGTCTAGCAATGAGAGTGATGGAGCCTTTGATTATTTAGCCAATTCCTCTGTAAGTGTCACTCCTCCCTAATGACACCTTGGACGGGGCTCCTTTCAGAAGCTGCCAGGAATTGCTGGTACCACAAGGAGTGTGAGTTCCTCTTTTCCTGCCCCCCTGCCACTCCTCTACCAAGCGATCTCAGGAGCTTCTTGGTTTCCTTCCCAAATGAAAGTAATTTTGTCATCTGTCTCCAAAGAGGAGCTTTTCCCCTGAACTTTTCAAGTTCAAGGAAGAGTGGTGCAAAATTCTTTTAGCTTGCACCTGGACCTGAAACTGTTCCTGCTTTGGTTTATTCTTTCTGGCTATTTAATTTCTTGCTGACCTTTATATGGGAAGCCTGGTTTTTTCAGCAACAGCTGGGCCCATTTTTTGCAGCGGCCCAGATCTTGGTACTGTAGTAAGCTATGTGATTCAGATTTGTGTTATCTAAGGTCCTCAGGAAAAAGTGATAACTGGCAGCTGTAACCTTATCAGATTATTCAGCTTCCTGTAATGAAAAAGATGTCATTTCAATGTGGTTCAGCCACGTTTCTGCTGCAAGTAGCCTTCTTGTAGTGTCCTACCACCTTATTTGTGCTGCTGTGGACTTCCAACCTGCCTCTTCCGTAGCTCTCGGGCAGGTCACCAGCAGCAGCTCAGTGGGTTTGCCTTTGCCACTACTGTACTACACACACAAAATCTGCAAGAGCCCTCGTTATCTCCTCAGCTCTGCCAGTGTCCATCTGGCAGGGCTGGAGGAGCAGCTGGTTTCCTCTGCATCTTTCCTCATCACAGCTGCAGAAAGCAACTCAAAAACAGCAGTGCTATCAAGAGACTGTCTTCAATGAAGTGTGTTGTTATCACCAGCTGCTGTCACTACCAGGCTGTTCAGTTTAACTATTAGAACCAGACCAGGCATCAGCACACAACTCGTTGAGGTGCACAGTAAGGGTTCTTCTTTTATGCTGGCATCAAAAGAGAAGCGGAAGTTTGGCTGGAGTTCTGTGGACAGGCAGTGCCACAACCCACCACAAATTTGAGAGTGGACTAAACACAATTATCCTGCTTGGTGCAAATATTTCTGCAAAAAAGCTACCCCTTAAAAATATTCTGTGCAGACTATCCTGTGCTTTTCAGCATGTTTCTATTTTGTACAGGGCTCAGCAACCCTCAGGCATCATCCATTATCTTTGCTGAGTCACAGCTTCATGACTGCAAGCCCCAGCCTTTGCCCATTGACACCTCTGATCATAATTACTGCCTGAAATCACATCCAGGCATCGTTCTGTTAGACAATGCTGTATCATAAACTGGAGAGAAACTTGTTTTCCTAAGGCTTTAGGCTGCTGCGTTGAGGTAATTAAGTCAATCTATTAGTTGGCTATAGGAGTAGGCTTTTTGCTACTATGTGGTAGTTACTTGGAGGGAAATACAATGTATGCTTGCTTCACCATTGCCTCCACCCACTGTCTAGATCGTGACAAGACGTGAGGACCTAGCTTGCCTGGTCTTTGGCTTCCAGATTTATCTGGTAACCAGAGGAGGGTATTGGAGAAATACACTCTGTGTCATTGCTGATGATACTTTCTGTTTACAAGTCTTTGTTCAGCCATGAGCTCCAACATTTTAGGAAGGGAGGTCGGCATGAATACTCCATTTTACCAGCCAGGTCATGAAGTGTGGTAGCATCCAAATGAGTTCCTGAGTAAAACTTGAATCTTCTCTCTTGAGAACCTGCCTTTTCTTTTCCACAGGTTTCATGGGATTTGTAACCGACATGAGGATGTAGTTCTAGGCTGCAAAGAGCCAAGAGCTGCCTAAGCACAAGAAACACTGAACTGGACCTCACTCTCTGGGCAGCTCAAACTCCTGGGAAAGAGAAAGACAAACATAGAAATCCTCCTAGAGACACAAATCCATCTGTTTTGAGCCTACATGGTTAATATTAGGAGCAACTGAAAACTTGATGTCATAATGGAGAGTGCCAACCGATGTTATCCGAAGGCGTCATGCAGCTGATTGTGGAAAACACATCTTCCAGGGAGAGAGAGTGCTGGCTGGCAACCAGAGGGTGGGGAACATGGACTGAGGGGAGACAGATGGTGAGGAGGAAGGACATGGATAGGAAATGCTGTGAACCAGAACCAAGAGGCCTCATTTCCAGAACCAAGAGACGGAGAGGGGTTTGCAGCACCACCACAGTTGTTAGCTACAGGGAGCAGAAAAGAGGGACTGCAGAGGTGACGCTGTTGCAGCAGCTATGGGGCAGGAGGATCCTTCCAGGTGGATGTGCCTTCTCCCTCCCCACCCCACCTCAGCCTCCCTGGGGCTGGTAACACGGGAGCCAAGGGAGGCACATCTGAGGTGCCAGTATTTGGGATGGAGTCAGACTTCCCAGAGCTCCTGAGAGAGGACTGAGTCATCTTTGTGCCATCTCATACCACACAGGGAGACAGCAGGCAAGCACCAACCCTGAAGGGATGAGGGACAGAGTTTGGAGCAAAAGTGGAAAAGGGCATCAGCACTCTTGGAGCCTCATCTTTGTCCTGACTCTTCCCCTCCGATCCTCTCTGCTCTCCATCCCCACCATCAGCAGAAACCTCTCCCCATCAGCAGCTTCCTAAAACGTGCATCTTCTCCAGGCAAGGGATGTTTTTAACCCAGCTTGCCACTAACTTTTGCAGCACCAGACACTATCGCACGCCAGAGGGCATGGAGTTTGCAGCCAGCCATCCACCTGCCCGTACACCCTAAAGCCTCTCAGCTCTCCTCCAGCTCCCTGTCCCGCCCAGGCACCTTCCTGCTGTCACTCGTCTTGGCTTGGTTACAGGCCTCACCAAGCATAACCCCATTCAGTCTCTCCGTTGCTGCTGTTTGCCCTCCATCCCTTCTTCCTCCTCCATGCACCCTTTTCCCACAGGGAGCTGCACCACATCCCACCGTCCTTCATCTCTCCCGCAGTGCCCCAGCACAGCCGCCACTTTCCTCCTCCTCCTTTTTTTCCTTCTCTCACACCGAAAGAAGGTCCTTTCACCTTCTCCTTGCCTTTTTCGGTTTCAGTATCCGTTGTGGTTTCCCTCCCTCCTCTCCCATGCTGTTTTAGCACCCCTCGCTGGCAGGACCCGGGCAGTGCAGGCAGCACCCCTCTGAGGTGCAGGCAGCACTTTCTTTGGAGTGCCCAGGGCCGTGCTATGTTAAGGCCTGTGGATATAATTGGTCTGTCAGACTTGTTTGGGCTACGATGCAGACTACGTGCTCTGCGAACTTTATTTGGGAACCCACTGTAACCTATGTAGTTTTGAAAACTCATGCTTTGAATGAAGCGTTTGTAGCTGGAACTCTGCATAATGTTAATTGGGGCTAGATAATGAGCTCTAAAAATATGTAAGAATTTTGCACTTGAGCATGGACCTATTTGTGGCAGCAATTACAGCTTGCCTCAAGAGATTTAACCTCTTTCACATAGTGGGCAAGGGAAAAAAAGGTCTTTATGTCAGCCAGGGAGCAAGCAGCCACTTAGCACAGGAAGCTGGGAAAGGGCTGATGAGAATCCTTGACAGAAGTTGCCAAAACTGAACGCACTTTCAAGGTGCACTCAAACAGTTGTTTCAGTGGTGACCAGACTCCACAAGTACCAGGACAAGGTTTTACAGAACAAGAGCTGTTCCGGTCCTGGGTTTCCTTGGCACCTTCCTACCTTGATGAATCCCTGCCTGCACTCCTCAGTTCCACCACATTTATGAAAGCCGACTCGAGGCAGCTTTGAGTTCCTGTGCCTTCTGACAGTGTACAGCAGTCTATGCAACTGGCCACTGCCTGTTTCCCTGTAAAACCTTCCCCTGCCCCATTTGGTCCGGAGACACGTAGGTGTACGGACGTTTTGGAAGAGCGTAGGCTCTTCACCACTGTATGCACACTAATATTTCTAATAGATGGTGCATTGCGTTCTGCATTAGAACCTTTGTTTTCCCTTTTCAGTTCTAACTTTACAGTGAGGTCTTGTTCATGACATGGCACTGTGTCTGGGGCTCTGTGGTCAACTCCTGCATTTTGGTGACACTAGCTATCTTTGAAATATAATTTTCACAACTGCTTGGTCTGAGTTGATAACTAAACAAAGATCTGATTGAGCTCTGCTCTCTTCTCAGCTTGTCTTTCCAATTTATCAAGCTCATCTCTGCTTCAGTAAATGCTCCTCATAGCCCAAACTTTATCTGCAGCATCATGGACTTGCTATTCAGATGTCAAGGCCCGGAAGACTTTAGGGGCAAGCAAAATATTAGCAAGGGTCAAGACTTT